TTACACAACAAGCCATTGTTCCGTTTTCTTTTGCTTCCGCCTTGTCGTTTTCTTGGCGTTTATTTTGAAAATAAATCAGAAAAAAAAACAAAACAACTTTAAGGCTAATGTAACGTCGGTTTTTTCTTGAAGTACGTGTAACTAAAACTACAACAAGCAGACTATGGTACCCAAAAACTCAAGAACAACGCATATAACTGAGACTATCTCTTATCAACTACAGAAATACCGGCGCGTTGATACGGTTACAGTGGTAAAGGGGCGAACCTTGAATGAAAACGAACGAGCGAAGAGCAATGGCGAACCCTGTGGGTTCGCCATTGCTCTTCTAGACGATTATGTAGTTCAGTTTCTGACCTGAATAGATTGGTATATTATTTATTACAGAATTTTTAGGAATATGAAGGGCGAAAGATGCTTTTATAATATATACAAGCATTCTTTAAAGGTTTGTGAGAAAGATGAGACTGTTTTTGAAACATCCACTTTGCGAGTTCGCCCTTACTCTTCCAAGCTTCTAAATATTTGTATTATTGTTTATTTTGTACTTTGCTATATCCATAACTTATGCCTTGCAGTTTAGTATACCGTTACGTTTAATAGTAATTATTTTAATTACACTGAGCTTATGCAAAGGCAACACAAATAAAAAGCGCCGTCAAGATTATATAAGATTCAGATGTTTAATTAATGTTCTTGCACTTTTCCACTTATGTATTCGTCAAACGAAATCAATAATAATTAACAGCATAATGCATAAGAAACAAGTAACAAAGGAAAGAAAAACTATGAGTTGGGTTGTCTAATTTTCTTGTCTTTTTAAACTATTCTTGTCTTTTTAAATAAAAAAAATGTTCTGTTTTTTAATGCGATATATTTTCTTCTTATGGTGCCCTATCTAATTAGTGGATGTTGGCGACAATTCTGACATACTCCTCTCGATCTTGTGTAGCTCTAAAGAGTGCATGGGCATCGAGGTTTGTTCAATCCCTTATGTTTTTAAGCCATGAGTATTTGTTTCTTTCGATGCCTGTTTTCCTTCTATCTTCCCTTCCATAGTAGTAAGCCATTACAAACGAAAACGAAATTTTTTTTTTAATTATTTTTTTTTACGATTTTATATGATGATTATTAAATTTTATGTATGGGTCTTTCATACAGATAGTTTATTGACCTGTTTGTTATCTTAATGGTCTAAATTACGTGCTGCATAGTTTTTAAAATAATAAACAAAACACTCCAAATTTACTAGTATCTGTCGGTGTCGTTTGAGCTCGCATAATATATCACAAGATATTTAAAATTCGACCAAACCAGCATTATTTGTCCAATTAGATATTGTAGAATGATATTATCTAAACATAATTTAAAATATGACTACTCATAAAATTTTATAACACTTTAAAGATAATGTTTCGTTTACGAAACTTTGACGCGATCCGTGAATTTATGATCCATGTTTGATAGTCCACTAATAATACAAAAATTTTCAGTCTATCTTCTTATAGAGGAAGAAGCTTTGACTGATATCGCTGGTACATTCGAGATTCACACAAGGTCTCGAGAAGAGGCTAAGACGCCCACAGAATCCATATTGGAACCATCTACAAGTAGGGGGAAGAAAAGAAAAGTAAATTCCGAACGAAAATGCAAACCAACGCAATATACACCTGACTGGTCTAAATCGTCAGAAAACTATTCCTCTTCTCCAAAAGACAATGAATTTAATAAAAAGGAAGAAATAAAGCTGAGACTGGCTGGGAAAACACCATTTGAAATATTCTCTTTATTTTTTGACGATATTGTATTCCAGAAGATACTCGAATTCAGCCTGACGTATGCCCGGGACAACAACAGACATGATTTTAAACTCTCTTCCAGCTCAACTGCAGAAGTTTTTTGGTATTTTAATCCTTACCGGTTATCATACACTTCCGGTGTGTGATATGTATTGGTCAAAAGACCCAGATAAAGGCTGGAGCTGTGAGAAAGTGCATGAGTCGAAACACCTTCCGAAATGTCTGTCATGTCTCTGACAATAATGACTTAGACAAAAATGATAATTTTGCCAAAATACGTCCATTATTTTTGCTCATGAACGAACGATATTTGCAGTTTGGACTATTTTCTCATAATATGTCTATAGATGAACAAATGGTTCCTTATTTCGGCCGACATTCTGCAAAGATGTTTATGCAGGGTAAACCAGTGCGCTTTGGCTTCAAGGTCTGGTGCTTGTGTAGCTCAGAGGGATATCTATACCAATTCATTCCTTATGGTGGCGCAAATCCAGAAAGGCAGAAATCACAATACACATTAGGGACGCAAGTAGTTTTGGATCTGCTACGTGTAATGCAAAACCCTTCAGAACATAGAGTTTTCTTCGACAACTTCTTTTCGAGTTATGCACTATTTCACATTCTAGGTGAAAAAGGAATTTTCTTTACTAGCACCGTGAGAGAGAATAGGTTACCAGGATGTCCTCTACAAAGTAGCAAAGTGCTTGGAAAGAAAAACAGAGGCGAGTTTGATCATGCTTTCGACAAAAAGGCAGAAGTATCAGTTGCAAGGTGGAACGATAATTCCGTTGTAACTGTAGCCAGCAACAATGGAACGGTTCATCCAATTGTTACAGTTAAAAGATATAATCGGAAGCTACGAAAGGAAGATTCAATACCTCAGCCCAATATGATTAACGATTATAACCGATATATGGGAGGTGTTGATCTCCTAGATAATTCGGTATCAAATTACCGGATCCGAGTAAGAAGTAAAAAGTGGTGGTGGCCCTTGTTTATGAACCTCGTGGATTGCACAGTTGTAAATTCATGGAGAATTTACAACATTGCAAATGATTCTCGAGTCTCCCAATTGCAATTTCGTTCTTCGTTGGTTTTGTCACTGATACAGAACGAAAAAAGATTTACGATAAAAACAGCTGCTGAAAAAGATGACTCCGAATCAGACCCAGAGCCAAAGCCATCCACATCCGCATGGGGTCGTCCTTCTAAAGGAAGTTTACCTTCTGATATTCAATATGACCAGACTGGTCATAATATCGTTCGCGAAGAGGATGGACGTAGACGGCGGTGTAGACTGTGCAAAACTAATTCTGTTTATATGTGCGGAAAATGCAAGGTTCACTTGCACGCTGACTGTTTTAGTGCTTTCCATAAAAAATGAGATGCCATAATGGCGCTACTGCCATACTACTAGACAAGTAATCATTTTATTTTATATAATTGACTATTGTAGCAATACCTTTAGTTTTAATTGATAAAACCAAGAAATTTCATTTACACACTATAAAACGTATAATTTTCAATTTACTACATATATTATGCCAAAGTTTCGTTAACGAAACATTATTTTTTTGTATATTGCAATTATTATTATTTATAATTTTAAGTGAAATATTGTTCTTATGCCTTTATTTATAAAGTATATAAACTTGAATTGCAAAAAATCTAACTATTTCAATGAGAACTGGTACTTGGAATTTCGAAATATATGACCCAGATAAGCAGTTTTTCTTCTTTTTATTATTGGTAGCAATTCTTGTTCTCTGCCCATTCGATTTAGTACTTCGACATTTGTTGTGTGATCCATCCAGGGAATTTTAAGTAGTCTCTTAAATACCCACATTTCAAAGGCCTCTAATCGTTTCATCACGTTGGCCTTTATGGTCCAGGTTTCTACACCATATAGCAGTACGGAGTAAATGTAACATTTTACAAAGCGATATCGAAGCGTTACGTTAAGGCTGCTGTTGCTTAGCAAGGTTCTCATATTAGCAAATGCTGTTTTGGATTGTTAAATCCTGCTACGTATCTCTATGTCTAAATCTAGATCTTCAGTTATCTTACTACCGAGGTATCTGAACTTGGGGACCTTTCTGATGTTCTTATTGTTTACTCTTATATTTATTTGCATATTTCGTGTTTTACTAACCACCATTACCTTCGTTTTGTCTATATTAATCTTTATTTATTATTTATTATCTTTATTATTATCTTTATTAATCTATTATTAAGCACACTCGTTCTCATTCCGTGTTTGTTCTATATATTAGTCGTTGTAGCACTTCTTGGCTATCAGCTATTATGACTGTATCATTAACATAACATGTTTTCTTAAAATACATCGTCAGTGCATACTGCGCCACTCAGGAATTGGCATGAAGAAAGACGAAATTGTCCCCAATAAATGGACCAAATGGAACTACTGCTTCTGCAAAAACATACTCTATATACCGGTGATCATTTAGGGAACCATTGATAAAAATATGTTCAGTCGGAGCTTCAGATGAGATTACAGCACAAATCATGACTTTTCTCTTCTCTTTCTTTCTCTCTCTCTCCTGCACACCATTTCTTGCAGGAATTGCAGTGGAATGGCAATTTCTTAAAAGTTACATCGCAATAAAATGATCATCCATTTGCGATGTAACTCTTCTACGATCAGAACCAGGTCGATGTGAGTATGGACTAGTCTCTACAAAGCGATGGAAAGCTCTTTGTGCTGTAGTTCTCGGAATACCTCCTAACGTTTCAGATACATAAACTTGACTTGACTCTTCCATCATGTAGCAATGCAGTAATTCGAGCAACATTACTACTGTAGATAATACCATATTTTTATTATTCACTTAGACAAAATCCATGTTTAAAAAGCTAAATTGCTGTTTAATCAAATGGTTTCAAGTTGAAAGATAAACAGCCACTACAGAAAATAACAACATAAACATCAAAACCGTCAAAAACAAGCATACATGATCGTAATAAATATTAAAATTGATTGCAATATGAAAATGTATAAAACTTCCAATGAATTTTTATTTTCGGACATTTAAAGGGTGGCCACTTTTTTTGCCGTTCAGTGTATATGCTAATAGTGTATTTAACCAGTCAGATCAACTTCGATCGGTTTATTTCAAAAGGAATGTCAGTAAAATAAGACCCCCAAAATAAAATTTGCAAAACATATTATATTATACAAACCTGAATAATATCCTTGGCGTATAGTTCAGCTCTCGTCCAATTCCCTAATCGAACGTTGTTTTCGAAGTCCCCTAAAACAAAATTCGTGTCAAAAACCACACAAAACCATACGGGCAGCATAGACTTCTACAAATATATGCGGGAGACTGGTGTTAATATCAGCTTAGGACGGACAAGTGTTTCCTTTGATCTTATAAAAAATTTAGTAAGATGCCTGTAGGGACTCAATATGTAAATGTCTATTTCGCCCAACTATATTATGTGAATTATATTAACACAGTTATGCGTGATGTTAATAAACTAAAGCTGTATAATAATACAGGGTTAACCAAACATTGTAATTTGTGCAGATCACGGAATAAGCATTTTCCTTTTTTTTATTGATCGCTCCCAAAAGAAATTCAAAATATATTTAGTAATACTTATTTAATAGTCCTTGCTGTCTTTAAAATACAAACGTAAATAAGATCATCTGAAATAAATTTAAGCCCTTTTGTTACTTTGTAACATACATAGGAGATCTATTTTCCGTTAATGTATTTTTTTAAATAAACAGTTGTAGATATTGTAGCGAGATTAAATAAAACGAGCGGTTCGAATTTATATAAATATATTTATTTATAACTTTACAGTTCGGTATTCTCTTATCAACTAAACTAACTCCTAAGATCGTTACATATATATATATATATATATAAATATAATATATATATATATATATACCAAAGTTACTATTTTCTAGAAAGTTCCCACCTCTAGGCGTACGTGACAGATGTTTCTGGAAGCATCGAGTCGCTTTCGAGATGCAGCCGCTTTACGGAGACACGCTACGTGTTCGTAACACTGCTCCCCTCTTAGATCTGAGCGTCCCGATCAGCAACTCTATATGTAGGCCCAGGATGGCGGAATCTACAGGACTCTCCAGCTCTGCATGAACCCCTCAGAAAGAAATAACAGTCTACTGTCTTTGAAGGACACAATCTCTTCGGATTAGTGCAACACACAGTAATTCTTACACCGGTTTCTCGGAAGATCACTTCTAGCATGCTTCTGACAATCTTCCAATCCAGATTATCTAGTGCATGGCCTATCTTGGGTAAGGCCAAATTCTTAATGTCGTAATTGCAGACGATTTTCTTCAAATTAGTTAGAGCACACCATATATCCTCGTAGGTTGCCCTGTCTGTATACGACTTCCTGGTCACCATATACAGCAAAGATCGAGAACCATCTTCTAATCTCAGTACTCTTCCAACTTTAGGCTGCTGGTTTTTTAACTCGTCCAAACGACCGAACTTCTTATAAAATACGGATGAGATTCCTTTAGTCATCTCAAGATCTTGGGCAACACAGTGGGCTAGAGTGACGTTATGCGGAACACTAAAAAGATCCTGCTGAACTTCTGTCGTCACGCCGAATCTAGCACTCTTTCTCTCTGCGTAATTTGACATAAACTCCTTAAAGCTTGGTCGCCGATCATCTTTGATCTTATTTTGAAGGGTTCGGACTTCTTCGGTTTCATTTGAGCCAGCATAAGGTGCAAGACGATTTATGTGAACTACTTTAGGTTTACCTTTCGGCAACTTCTTAATTCGGTATATTACGTCATTTATTCTCTTTTTAATTTCATACGGACCCTCCCATTGTCTTTGCAGTTTAGGAGACAAGCCACGACGACGTTGTGGATTATAAAGCCAAACAAGATCACCTACTTCATAGCTTTCATTCTTGCATCGAGAATCGTATTGATCTTTCATTCTGTCACTGGCTAACTGGATGTGTTGTCGGGCAAGTTCATGAATGTTGTTCATTCTTAACTTTAGGCGGTCGACATAATCTTCGCTTGCAACATGTTCTTCAGAAGGTCTGCAGCCAAACTCTAGGTCGCAGGGCAAACGAACTTTACGACCTAACATCAGGCAGGTTGGAGTCTGGCCCGTAGTTTCATTCACGGCCGAGCGGTAGGCCATTAGGAATAAATGAATGTGCTGGTCCCAATCTCTTTGATGTTCTGATACAACTTTGGACAGGTGTTTACCCATCGTTCGGTTCATTCTCTCGACCATTCCATCTGATTGAGGATGCAGGGGTGTCGTTCTGGTCTTATTGACACCAATCAATTTACAAACGTTTTGGAAAAGGTTTGACTCGAAGTTTCGCCCTTGGTCGGAGTGGATCTCCAAGGGAACACCAAATCGGCTAAAGAATTCTTTAACCAGTACCTCTGCAACGGTAGCAGCTTCTTGATTTGGTAGCGCATAGGCCTCAGTCCATTTCGTAAAATAATCCATGGCTACCAGGATATATTTATTTCCATCATTTGTCTCTGGAAGTGGACCTGCAATATCGATTGCTACTCGTTCCATAGGACTACCAACATTGTACTGTTTCATGGGTGCCCTCTTTTTACCAACTGGACCATTACTGGTTGCACACAGTTCACATTTCCGGCACCATCTTCTTACATCATCTTTACAGTTCACCCAATAGAACCGTTCTCGAACCTTTTGCAGAGTCTTCGTAATACCAAAGTGTCCACCTGATGCACCGTCATGCAACTGACGTAATACTTCTGACACTTTACTTTTAGGTACAATCAACTGAAACTTAGTTTCTGTACCATCATCGTTCTCAAAGGTTCTATAAAGAAGATCATCTTTTAGCACTAGGCAATTCCATTGGCTCCAGTAACACTTGACTTCAGGACTACATGCACTAATGTCTTGCCAAGAAGGTCTTTCACTTCGACGCACCCAATCCAATACTCTTTTTATACATGGATCATCTGCTTGAGCGTCTTGTAGCTGTTGAGGCTGCCATTGATCATTAATAACGGTGGTTCGCCTCACGGGGCAAAGTCGTTCTTCTAATTCAAGACAATGATTACGATTTGCACTGTATGGCCGTCTTGATTGAACATCAGCATTTGAATGACTTTTTCCAGCCCAGTGCTCGATCTGTTCTAGCTTTCTGACTGTTGTATTATTTTCTTGCACTTTGTGGCGAATGTGACCTTCGTTGTTACCATTCCAACATCTGGGTTCACGTCTCTTCGGCATCATGTTACGAACTACTTTCCGTACGATTTCCTCTAGACGTTTATCGTTTCGTTCGTCATTCTCTTCAGAGGTTCGTACTTGATAGCTCCGTGAAACTCGACTAGCTATCTCATGTTCCAAGGCAATGGCGAGCGCTTCATCTAAAACTTTCGGTCTTGCTAGTCGTAAAGCTTTCTGTAGTTCACTGTCTCTCAACCCATTGACGAAGGCATCTACAGCAATTTCTTCCAAAATGTTGTCTGGTACCTCTGGATAGGCCAACAGCGCTATACGAGCAATATCTGCTTCAAATTCTTGCAAACTCTCACTTGCTCGTTGAATTCTACTTCTTATTTGTACTTTGTAGACTTGTTGTAGATGGGCATCTCCGTAACGTTTGTCTAGTCGAGTAAACAAGGTCTGGTAACATTTTTCTTGACCCTTAGGAATCGATCTTAGGATATCCACAGCATCACCTCGTAAAGCAGCAGTCAAGGAAACAGCTTTTTCTTGTTCCGTCCAATGATTGGCTGTCGCAATAGCTTCAAATTGTCTAAGGTATATGGACCAAGAGGACTTTCCATCAAATGGTGGCAATTTGAATCTCATATGATGTGCCATTTCGTCTCTAGGTGATTCTTCTTTCACTACCGGATCTAAAGCTACCGTATTCATTGGTGGTAGCACTTTCGTGTTAGTTATCATGCTCTCTAACTGTTTGATTTTCTCTTCTACTTAATCGAATGTTTTAGAGACTTCTTCAAATTTTTCATTGTTCTGAATACAAACTTCTTTAATTATTTGAGAAATCTCATCGAATCTTCTAGATACATTTTCCAATTTCTCGTCATTTTGTCTAGCTATTTCTTTAATAATTTTAGACGTTTCATCGAATCTTTCATCATTCTTTCGAGAAGATTCTTCAATTTTGTTAGAAGTTTCTTCAATCATTTGAGACGTTTCATCGAATCTTTTGGAAACAGTCTCGAATTTTCCATCAATTATTTTAGTTAGGACGGCTTCTTCTGCTGACTGGAACTCTAATGTCTCTGGGTCATCTCCATTCTTGTTAAGAACATTCCTTAGTCGTTCTTGGAGGATCTTCTTGGACCCGCTGCAATCTTCATCGCGTTCTTCTAGTTGCTCACGCAACTGTTTTACTGAAAGTTATACTAGCAGCATCTTTGGTCGGGCACACACGTACTTTTTAAATGTTCTTTCGTACAACGATCACTACCGAACTACGCGGATGTTCCCGACGAACAATACTTTTCAAAAGTTCAAAAGTCTCTTTGTTCCACTGTTGGATTTATTTTTAAATAAATCAATTGTCCTCATACTGTGACACCAATTGTAGCAGAATTAAATAAAACGAGCGGTTTGAATTTATATAAATATATTTATTTATAACTTAACAGTTCGGTATTCTCTTATCAACTAAAACTAACTCCTAAGATCGTTACATATATATATATATATATATATATATATATATATATATATATATATATATTTGGTATATATATATATATATATATATATACCAAAGTTACTATTTTCTAGAAAGTTCCCACCTCTAGGCGTACGTGACAGATGTTTCTGGAAGCATCGAGTCGCTTTCGAGATGCAGCCGCTTTACGGAGACACGCTACGTGTTCGTAACAATATATTAATATAATTCACTAACTTAAACGTCTCATTCCTCTTGAGACGTCTAATCATATCCACGTTCTAATGGAGCTGAATGGTCTCGATATTAATGTGCTGAAGCAGTCGTTATTTGTGACCTTTAGCTATTTTACTAATGGTCTCATTAACAGTGTTCATTTTCAAGTTCCTATTAAGGTCGCTGTTCTAGTAATACCAAAGAGAGTTGACAATGATTCTAAGTACTTTATTTTGAAAACACTGTACGATATCCAAAATAATCTTCCTGGTTCAACCCCACAGCTGTTTGGACTGTACCAGTATGTCCATACTGGTTTTATTTTCTGTTTATACAAAAGTATTTTATTGTAGATTAACTGCGTTGA